TGGTGGCTAGCTTACTGGCTGGAGATCGAACTTGTGCTGCAGTAGCTGCTGATAGTGTCATAGTGCTGAGACTTAACTCCTTGGACCATTCTTACAGGATCATACAGGAGTTTATTTGAATGCCACATCCCATCACAACTGAAAGCTAACATAATAGAATTTGTGTTAGATTAATTTGGGAGAAAAAATACAAGAGCCAAATGTACACATAATCCAGAGCCTCCTTTACTATAGGGGATTCCAAGCTGTTCATACAAGGCCTTCATGAGAGTTACAAGTTGTAGGGGGCACCCATGCAAATGGGTTTCTGGGCTCTCTTTTTTGTTTACAAAATAACTTCACTTTAATCTAGTTTATATATTACATTTCCAGAAAGTATTTTGCTTGAACAACAATTTCTAAGATTTTGAAGATATAAAGCAGCTCTTTATGTTTAAAGTAACTTGACTGCTCCTTTTGTTACTTATGGAGAAGGTAGGAAGAATACTTAAGCAGTGGGTAGCCTGATCACAGTCTAGGAAATTCAAAATTCAAATACAAAAGAAAGGATGCATTTGGAGAAATACAGGCCAGAAAAGAATAATATCGAGTCCCTTTGTGACAGGTCTCATTCTAGACAAATTTGTTTAAAGATGATGTGAGAGTAGTTCAGAGGCTGGTGACTTGCCCAGAGCCATCAGCAGCAAGATTATTATTATTATTCTGAGGCATAGGTACTTTCTGATTCTGCTTGCATGACATTTACTAATGTGAAACAGTGCTAAGACAGGGCTATAGTTGGGACTATAGCATGACGAAGGACAATGCCAAAGTAGAGAACAAGTCTATGGGTTTTCACCCATTTGCACAATTGCAAGACTACTCAGGGTCAGGGAACACCACCAATGGGATTTATTTAACAAGCAGGGGAATCAAAGACTTTTTAATGCCACAAGTGGCTGGTTATCTATCTCACCCCAGAAAGTGTCCGCAGTGTCCAGGAGTCCCAAACAAGAGACTGCTCATTCCAGATGGCACTGTCCCATCAATGAGGTCCAGAAGCTCATGGTACACCAGTAAGCAGTAGGCCAGGATACAACTCACAGTGGCAGATATAGGTGCTCACAGATGGGGTCACTGAGATGACACTGCAGCAGCCCACAGCAACAGTCTGAAGGCTAAGGTGGACAGCATTAGTTGAGGTGGACAGCAGTGAAGGCAACAGCGCCAGGAGGTGGTGCTGAATGATCATAAGCAGTGGACAGTTCTCAGAGGTGATCCTTTGCAGTGTCTACAAACCACTGGTCATAACTGAGTGCTGGACAGCACTGTTCTGTAGTGCAGGTCACCACGAGTCACCAGGAGGCAGTGACAGAGACACCAGTGTTAACAGCTCTTTGAGTTGTTGGCTACACCACCAACAAAAAACTTTAAAGTGCTCCTTCAACTCAGTATATTTGGGTTTCTGTGTCTCTACTAACCCTGGTGCTGACAACTCTTTGTAGGAGCCCTGCACAACACCCTCCCACCTCCATGAGCATCAGCCCCTTTGTCTACCCAGCCCTGCATTTCAATCCAGCCAGAGGAAGAAATGACACCTGAGTTCCTGCCTGACCTTGGGCTTAGGTGATGCCCTGGTTGGGCCAGTCTGACTATTGACTCCAGTCCCACCCTGCCCTGTTAAGGAGACTGAACACAAGTTTTCCACCCCTGTAGCACATCAGCCTTTACCTCCTTTCTAAGACAATCTCAATATGGTACTTTCAATAGGGTCCCCATATGATTTCCTGGGTCTCAGACCTGTGTTGTAGTTGTCCAACCCCAAAGGTCCCTTAAATGAGGACATACACTATAGCCCTGCAGCCATCTCTGGAGTGAGGATAATAACTTTTTCCTCACTCCCACAAGGTTTCCAACAAGAAACCTTGTTTTCACCTTGATAGCTTTTCTCCTTGCCACAGCTGCCCATTCCTAGGGGGTGGGCCCAGTTCTAGTATCTTCTCTGTTTGCATGGTTTTCACCAGGAAGTTCAGGCTTATGGATTTTGCCTGTGACAGGTACCAGGGAGGAGCTGGGGAAGATGACTGAATAAATACTACCCCCCCCTAAAGTCCCGAGGCCACACACACAGGAGGGTTGATGGGGGAAGAGATACTAGGTGAAGAAGTAAGGCTTGAGCATCCTGCTGGTCGGGAGGAAGGAACCTCTTAATTTACAAACTTGGGTCTTCAGAGGGAACTCTGCAAAGTAGACATTATCACACTCCTCTTTGGTGTCTCACTGCCTGTGTCACTGTCATATGTAATAACCAATGTGTACTGGAAGATTCCAGGAATTGTCGACACATTTGGTGCCATGTACCATGTGCTGGACATGTCACTGTTCCCGCTGGTCTTCACAAGGAAGGGCTGTCAGTGCTTCTTTCCTCTTCTGTAGATGAGTAAAAGCTGACCCCGGCTCACATAACTGTATCAGTCAGAAGCAGAGGGCTGAACCGCACCCAGTTGGTCCTACAGACACACTCTTTTGCCAGCCCTCCTTGCTGTACAGAACCAGAACAGCAGATCCACTCTCTGAGCCCCATGTTGCCAGCTGGTTACCCTATTCTCAGTTCTTTTTATGCCATTTTTATCTTCCCTGGAAGTTGGGGTGTCATTCTGTGATTACCCCAATAGTCACCTCATGCCAGGCCTGAAAAGGCCCTCAGAATAGGCTCCAGGGTTTGCATCATGGCTGTCTCTAAGGCTCAGGCCACATGGGCTGAAACTGGTTTGTAGGACCCCAGGCTTGACCTCCCCTGGAGGATCACTTGGGGCAGACTGTGCTGGTGGCATAATGAGCCAAGAAAGGGTGCCACAGGATGGTGGCCCTCATGGCTCTGTCTTCAGAGCTGTAACACAGGCTCTGCCAGTTATGGCTTCAGAATTAGCAGCTATAACCCTAGTGGTCTGGACCTGGAGGCAGCAAAAACACCTTCCTCATTGGTAGGGTTTTCCATCTCCTGTCTCCCAGGTAGCAGTCATATTCCACAAATGCTCCAAGTCAGCTGACCCAGGAGGCTGCTGTTTATCCAGACTGAAGAAAGCCCCTTTCCATACACTGTTCACAGGCTAAAAGGGTCAGAATTCCTCTGATTTCTTTTCAAAAGTGTTTCCCATCTTGTTTAGAAACATTCCATTATTTCTGAGCTGTCAGACAAGCATATCTGTTTCCTTGGCTATCTTATGTCTAATTTTATATTGTAAACTAACTATACCTAACCTTCTGATGAATAAACATCATGCAGAATTTGTGACTGTCTATGCAAGAGGATACATACTTACCTGGAAGCATTTCTGTGAGCAGCACACAATGGGCTTGCAAGATGGCTTCCCCCACTTAGTGCTCCTTTCTCTCACAGGGCCCAGACACACAGACCTCTCACCTGCTCACTCACCTCAGAGCAAATCCCTGTGAAGCCAGGAGAATGTCTAGCCACCAGGTGGTACAAGATCACATCCTCGGGGGTCTCAGTGCCCAACCCCAGACAACATCTCAACACAGAATTCTTCCTGAGAACTGTGAGCCTGTGAGTCTAGAAATCTGAATTTCCCATTTCATTACCTAAGTATTATTTATACAAAATCCTTAGGCACATGGAGGAATTCCAACCATCCAGTCCTCTTTTTCTCCCCCTTGAGTCAATGGAATCTGGTTTTCCAAAGGAGGTCACAGGATCCAGGACAGTGGCTGGGGGCTTCCCTGAGAACTCCCCAGCAACCACCATTTACCATACTTGGGCCTGCTGACTTGCTACCCTGGATGCCCACCCGTTCCTCTCATCTGCCCATCTGTAGCGGCAGGAAGCACAGGGCAGGTTTTCTATGATTCTATGCAGAGGGTAAAGGAGGAGTCCTGGAGCCCTCTGTGGCTTTTGCAGGCTTTATTTGACATTTTACCAGGTACACGGCAGGCAAGGGTGCTGGGGGGGCCGGGAGGCTGGCAGGCCTCCAACCCCCAGAGAGTCTTCCCTCTTTCTGGACTCTCCGGCCTTCTCTTGTGGCCTTGTTTGCTCTCTTCTCATGGTTCTGCTGTTCTGCTCTCTCTCGCTCTCTGCTGGCGCCCCTGCGACACTGCCCTTATAAGTCCAGTCTCAGCCCAGGTGTACCCACCTATGTATGCCCACACCCCATTCTAGGTGCCCGCCATCAGGCATGCATTCAGGACTGCAGGAATCCATCATCAATCCTAATGGCGGAAAGGCAGAAAGCCTGACACTTTGCTTACCCTACACCATCTTTAGTACAGAGTGGTTGGCAGGGTCAGCATCAGGTGGCCTCACTCGGACTCCTTCAGGAGAGACATACAGGGAAAGCAGGCCAGGGGATGCTCACATCCTCAAAAAAAACCACCAGACTGCTCAGCTGTTTTCTACTTATCTAGGGTTCCGGGACAGCTATCAATGAAATGATAACTAGCCAAATGTGATTATATATTACTAGATGCTTGTCTGTTCTTTTTAAAAGGGGGTTTAAATATTGCATTTTCAGGCCAAAAGAGACCCTGGAGACTGGTGCAGTCTCCCCAAGGACCAGCCCAGCCCAGCTGGTGCTGAACTGTGACAAAACTGAGCAAGGCCCCTTCTACCCTACTGCTCTCAGTGCTTGGGTTGTTCTTGAAGAATAGGAAGAACATATAGGTCAGTGTAGGGTAAATGATTGTCAGGCTTTTCTGCCCTCCTGCCATGAGGAGTGATGATGGATCCCTGAGGTCCTGAATGCATGCCTGATGGCGGACACCTGGAGTAGGGTGTGGGCATACATAGGTAGGTACATGTGGGCTGAGATGGGGATTACAGAGGCGGTGTCCTGGAATGGAACCAGCAGGAGGAGAACAAGTGAGAGAGCAGAACGGAACCAGCAGAAGAGAGAGAGTGAGACCATGAGAGAATGCCAGAGAGCCTAGGAAAGAGTGAAGAGTTGCCCAGGGCTGGGAGTCCTGCCAGCTTTCTGCCCCCACCCACCCAGCACCCCTGCCTGCTGTGTACCTGGTACAATGGCAATTAAAGCCTGAAAAACCACTGAGGGCTCCAGGACTCTCTCCTTTACCCATCTGCATGGGATTATGTGCCTTCCTGTGCCTTCCTGCCACTACAGTCAGTGATTCAGGAAATATAAGTTTGAGTGAATGGAACAGAAATACATTTGCACTGGAACCAAAAGCACCTTCTGTGAAAAAGCATTTTGTAAATTCCAGCAAAGTTCAGTGGGAAATTTTGAGTCAATATTCAGATCTTCCTTGATTTATGATGGGGTTAGATCCAAATAAATCAATTGTAAGTTGAAACATTGTTAAGAGAAATCATCGTAAGTCAGAGACTCATACAAAAAGCATTGGCATCCACACCCCATACACCTATTGGTTGTTCCCCCTGTGATTGTGTGGCTGGCTGGGAACTCATTTTGCTGCTGCTGCTGCCCAACACCACAAGAGAAAATTATACCAAATATTGCCAGCCCAGAAAACATCAAAATTCAAAATTTGAAGTACAATTTCTATGGAATACGTACCACATTTGTACCATTATAAAAATCAGAAGTCAAATCATTGTATATTGGGACGATGTGTATGCAGATTTCCTGTTCATACAATTTTCCTGGCAATTGTTAACCATGAAAATGTCCATCAGAAATCACATAGTGATGGTTCTTGAAACAGAACCCTGCTCTTGGAATTGAGAGGCTATTGATGCAATATGTATTTGTGGAGCTGATATGCCAGAGGTGGTAGAAGGGTCTGAATCTTAGCTCGGCTGATTGTGGTTGACTCACCACAAGTTAACTCACCTGCTTAAGCCTCACTTTTCCATTGACAAAATGGCAATGACAAGAGTACTCAAGTGTAGGATGCTGATAAAATGATTTGAGATCATAGTGTACAGTACTTAATGCTCAATTAATGATAGTTAAGACCATGTGTAAATGTGAAAGGGAAATAGTAGCTCATGTTCCACTCCCTTGAGAGGTTTACTGCTTAGAAGACTTGTATGCAAACAGCCTATGTTCAAGGATTAGAAACAGATGCATGTGATCAAATCAAGTAGCACAATTGCCTACATTTCGTTATCCATGTAGAGGCCAGTGATATAAGGGCGTAGAGGCCAGTGATATAAGGGCAGCTACCAGAGGGTGCGTGACCACAGAAGAGGCAAGACCACAAGAGAATGCTAGAGAAAGGCCAGAGGCAAAGTGTGAAGATTTGTGAGGCAGGTTGCCTGCCTGCCTCCCAGACCCCCAGCCCGACCCGTGCCTACCTCCTTGCATGCCAGACACCCTACATAGTGTACCTGGCTCCCTGAGAGGACATTAAAGCCTGAAAACTCCATTGAGAGCTCTGAGATTCTCCCTTGTCCATCTGCCCGAATTAATAGTGAACCTGCCCTGTGATTGCTGGCACAATACCTCCCTAGCCTGCCTCTTCCACACTCTCATGCCTGACATATTACTTTTACTATAGAGGGACACAGATGTAGCACCAGTTTTCATAGTTGGAGACTTGAGTTTGAGTCCTGGTATTCCACTGAGCATGTGACCTGGGGTGATTCACTGAACCTGGACTGTTCATTTAATGAGAATAAGGGCACTTTTCACTCAGACTGGGGGAAGCAGGGACCTCACGGTCCTCCCCAGCCACCACCCATGTTGTGTTATTTAATCCTATACAAGTTCATTTTAATTTTTGCAGAAGACTGAAACAGTTTTTGCTAATCTTCCTTCCAACTGAAGTATATACATGATCATCTAAGAATGTGGGTATGCATCTCAGCTAAGTTACAGCTTAGTTCAAGGAGCCTACTTGTTTCAGGTTGGTGGGGGGTGGGAGTGTGAATCCGTGAATCTCCTCCTCCACATGTTCCAGAGAACAGGTCCCGCTGGTGCCTGCACCCTGAGGGCTGGAGAGACAGCCTTGAGTATGCTGATCTGGGACATCAGCACCAGACACTCCTGGCTGACAGGGACATGGATAATTACTGACATGGAATGTTCTCACAAGAAAGGAGTCCTCTGTAGTAAGTCACCCTTCTCTTCCAGGCAAAGGAGACCCTGGAGAGAGCTAGAGATCCCTCAGCCTGTGTCTCTATTCTCACTGCCTGGTGTTTGCTTGGGGGGCTGGATGACATCCCCAGTCCCCTCATAAACCCAACACCCTGATGAAATCCCAGAACCCCCTCAACACACACTGAGATGGTGGGTGAGTGAGCTGGGCTAACTAGCAGTGATGTAAGAGTGACATCTGCCTTCTCATTCTTGGCTTGGGCCCCAGCCTTGATGCTCCCCCCATCCAGACATAAGGCCTCTCCAGACACGAGCCCTCTGTTCATTTTTATTTAGATTCAAAAACAGGCATCATAGTTTGTCATCACTGTCAATTCCTCCAAAATCACACGCTGACATTTGTGTACAACAAAAACATTGGTGTGTGTGAATGTGTGTGTGTGTGTGTGAACTGTGCAAAGTAACAACTTCTCAACCAGTCAGCTGAGCTTTTTTGGGGTACAGGAGTCTGGTGCTTGCACTGTTGGCAAGTCCTCCACTCACTCCCCCTGCCATGCCTGCAGCCCTGTGGTGGTCCTGAGATCCCTGTCACCATGGTGTTCACTGGCCTCACTCAGATGTGTCTGTTGACCTCACCACACTCCTCAAAGTCACACTGGCCACCAAATTCTACTACACAACAAATACTTGTAAGTCACTGGGTCTGAATGGAAGGTGAGCATTTCCAATAAGATATTCCATCTTGATAGCCAAAGCAAGTTTGTCTTTTGAGGCAAGACAGCCAGAAGAAAGGGTCTAATTCTGCTCCTGCTCTTGCCTTCCAGTTAACTGGTGATGAAGGCTGCTAGGTCTCACTGACTGGGTTTGAAAACACTCAGACCAAATAAATCACAGGGGCCAATCAGCACTTCCCTGCTCTCTTGGAACCTGGCCTGAGATGGAGCACTGGCATCTTGCCTTTCCAAGAATGTGCTATTGCCACTGGGGCACTGAGGTCTGGCACAAACAACTGGATGCCTGCCCTACTTCTCTGCTTGAAGGGTGGTGGTGGGGGGTGTCAGTTCTGATGCTGCCTTCTCCACAGTCACTAGACTAACCAGCAATTCCTACCCACCAGGAGCGCCTTAGGTGGTGCCGGGAGAGGAAAGAATGTCCCAGTTAGTCTATTCCGTTGCTTAGTAACTTCCTTAATTAAAAAAAAAAAAAGACATTCCCTATTATCTGGGAATTTGAATTAATTCTGGTTTCACTTCATGAGAAACATAAATCTCATGAAATGTGTTAATCTATTATTTTTGGTGATAACATGATTTTAAACATTCATGGGATTTTATGTTCAGGGTAGACACCTAATTTGGCAACAAATAGCAAATGGATACCTCCTGGTTATTGTTGACATAGTACACAAGGTTCCCAAGTTTAAGTTGTATTTTAAAAAAATTGATTCAGAACAAATTTCTCAAGAATGTTAACTCTATTATTTGTAAAGATGAAAAGAGCCTTTCTCTAGGCAACAGCTCACCAGTGTGATAGCCACCTGGCAGCAACAGTCAAGTCCCATCCCAGAATAGAAACTCTGAAAATAACTATGGAAAGCATGACTCTAGGCAAGAGAAATATGTTTCTGGGTTTTGCTGCATTCTTAAAAACCAGGGAGATCCTATGTTACCAAAGGAGAATTTATTTAGCCTAACTTAAACCAGAGTGGTCTCTGTAAAAATACAGAGAGGCTGGATGAATTATGGCTTTGAGTTGATAAGGAGGTTTTCCTAAGGGGTGACTCCTGAGAATAAGACCACCTCATGACAAGATGTTTGCAGGGAGTGAAGAGCAGGACTCAGGAATAGGTTTCTGTGACTCCACCTTGCAACAGTCCCAGCATCAAAACCCCCTTCCTCTCTCTCCCTGTCAGGCTGCCCTTATCCTGTCAGTCAGCAGCCACACCTGCAACCCCTACTCTCGTGATTCCTCTTGTCTCTAGACCAGGGCTTGTGTTGTCTGCAGGGGGAGCAGTTCTTTATTTATTTTTAATAAGGTGGTAAATCTGAATTGTGATAAAAACTTCATATTTCCATAGGTAGAAATAACATTTTCTCCATAGGGTTATTCTCTCTACAGCACTTAATGAAAAACTCTGCCTTCTTGGGCTGCAGTCCATACTCATGTTCATTTTTACTGCAGTTTTAGTGACACAACAGGCAGTTTTAGTGACCTTTCTTCAAAATGTCTCCAGTTCCTGAATAATAATTATCATTGCCCAGACAGAGCAAGGGACTTTGGTAATGGTATAAAGAAACTGGCTTTTTCCAAATCTGCCCTCCAACCACATAAATGAACCCTCTTCATCCCATGAGGCAGCAACCAACACTGATGTTGGAAAGGCGTGCTGTTCAGAGCTCTCCAAAATTCACATGGCAAACATAAATATTCTGCCCATTTGATGTCACCTGGGAATTTTTTTTCAAGCTCAAGCAAGTCATTACCATTTTTGCAAAAAGGCAGCACCAGATGTATGAAAAATAGGCAATGTATGACCTATTAGAAATATATAGTCTAACAGTATTACATTACAAAGATGTAAGAAAGAAACAATGCAGAGGGACAGTGCTGGTGGAATAAAATGTGTTGCTTATAATACCCGCAGAAGACAAGGCTGAATGGGGTCTGCTGTAGTTCCCAAGGGGCTTTCCAGACTTTGGAACCCCGGGCCACAGACATTCTTGCTAAGTGGCCAGGTGGTGGGTGACTGAGGTATATAGAGAGGTGACAGAGCAACATGGACCCCAACGGAGCCCAGGGCAGCCACCAGAGACCTTCAAACGCTTTAGGTCCCTTTCCCTACCCAACCCCAAAACGCTTCTGAACTCCCGAAGCTTCAGATGGCCAATGAGGCAGCTGCTGTAGAGACAAAGTAGAAACCAACTGACGCCAGCCTGTTCTCTTTCCAAAGGTTTCTCTTTACAGTTTACACAGAGGGAGGCATTTCATTGAGAAACAATCCCAGGGTATGCTCTCTGCTGGGAGTTGTGGTGAAGGCCGGCCCTGTCTACCTGGGCCCCCACACCATCTGGGATGTCCCCCTCCAGGTGCCTTGGGAGGATGTGACCTGGGGTGTGACCTGAGGGTCTGGGACCCTCACTGGCCTTCGGCCCTGTTCCTGTGCCTTGGGGCTTCCTGGGGAGGTCTTTGTCCCGGAGAGTGGCTATGGTGAGCTCAACCTCAGAAGCTCTCCACGAAGCTGCCCGGGAAGAGGCCAGTGCGGCCAGTCCGCTGCAGGGTTCCCTTGTACCAGCCATCCTCGCGCTTCTTGTGCACGAATACGATGTCACCTTCCTTCAGCTCGATCTCTGCCTCGCTCTGGGGTGGGTATGAAACCACCACACGATATCTGGGGGACAGACAGCACAGTGGGTGAGCCTGACCTGGCAGCCTCTGCGTCCCAAAGCCCAGGGCACAGACTGGACCCTGCTAGGACTTGATCTTCCCTCTTCATTTTTTTTTACCCCCTTTGGTCTAAGTTATTATAAATTGGAACTGCTTTCTACACTTGAAAATTTTTCTACATATCTTTAATTTTTGGCAAATTTAATTACTCTAAAATGTTTTCATTTTAATGGAAATTTGAAAATCTTCCCCTGTGGTATCCTTTTGGACATCTGTGAAACCGGACTGCTTGCCTGAGACATAGCCCCTTTGCCTTCTATCCTTCTTTCCACCCACCTCAATAGTGGACATTTCGGCCCTGGGGCAGGTGTTGGGAGCATCCAGGATACCAGCTTTGTCCTGGAGACCTGACCCTGCTCTTGCTGGCCTTATCTCCTTCATGTCGGTTTCCATCTCCAGAAGAGGCAGGACAGAGGAAAGATTTCAGGTGGCTGCTCCGGGACATGTTTGAAGGTCCTTTGAGCAGTATTGGTAAAATGGTCACTTTTTTTTTAATATGCTACAAAATTACAAGCTGTGTGGCCTTGAATCTGAGCCAGCTGAGGTTCTATCATTAATAATGCCTACGTGTCACACATTATCATTCTTGCCTCCCTGCGGTTGCTGAGGTCTTTGTAGAGTCCCTTTTTCACATCCACATGACATTCAATCCAACCACAGGCCTGAATCTGCCTAAGGGGGCCTGTGCCTCTGACTAACCAGAGACCCTACAGGCACCCTCTGCTGAGGCAGGTCCAGCACACGGTGGTGCTGCCCAGGTACTTTCCAGATCTGAGAAAAGGGCCCATCACTCTGGCTGACATCTTGCCAAGAAGCCAGTGCCCCGGGGTTAGCGCAGGGCAGGTCTGCTACTACCCCATATCCTGTACCTATCTGTGGAGCAACAGGGGACACCTAAGGCTAAAAGGAAGGTGTGCTTGCTCTGAGCACCTCCTAAAATAGCACCAAGGGCAGACTAGTCCTTGACCTGGTGCTGATACCCCACCCTATGGCTCCCAACTTCCCTGTCTGAGAGGAGGTACTCTGTTCCTGACCTTCTGCTTGACTGTGCTTTCTGCTGTTCCCTCTAGGCACTCACAGGGCCATGTGAGCTCCAACATCTGACTGGGTCATCCACCCTCAATCCTTCCAGTGGGTGACAATTGTGCAAGAATTTAAAGACACGATTACCTCTCCCCCCTATACCCCCCCAACCTGCCCACATCTCCAGGAGTGTGAGGAGCTCCAGTATTCCTCAGACAGGTTGGCTGGGGGACCCTCCTGAGAACAATGGGAAAACAGGAGGGTTGAGTGGGGAAAGCAGTGTGAAGGATGACTGTCCTGCAGCTCCTTGCTTGGAACCAAGGCTGGCCCCAGGCTGATAGTTCTAGGCTGTTCCAGCTCCTAGGCTGTTCCTGCCCACAAGCCTGCCTGACCTGCAGGGTACTGTCCCTCTTCTGGAGGCACACACACCTCAAGGTGCATCTATGAGTCTGGAGTTAACTAGCTTGTGTACTTCCCCCTCTGTCTTCTTCCTGACCTTGACAGAAATCATCTCTCTCTGGGCCCTCCTGTCCTTCCCTTTAGAAGAGGAAGTGAAGTGCTTGGGCGATGGTAGTGGCATCAGGTGGCTGAGGTCTGACTTGGCCTGGAGGAGCCCCTGAGAAGACATACCCAGCTGTTCCCCTCTTCTCTGAAAGTGGCCCTGGCCCACTGGCTGGGGGGAAGGGGAGTGGGAGAAACTTTGTCCTGTGTTCTCAGGCTGCTGGCCTGCTGTGAGTACTTGTTCCCTCCCCTGTCAGTCACAGACACACAGATGGCCCCTGATGTCACATCTAGGCATCCCGGGGGTCCTGTCATCCTGAGGATCCTCAAGTAGTTCTACATAGAGTCTTTAAGAAACCAGGATATCATAAAACAAAAGTGATCCCAACTCAGCAAGTGTGGACTGTTGACTTGAGGACCACCTGGTCAGATTCCTGGGCTCTATCCTGAACCTACTGATGTCATTCTAGGAGCTGGGGCCAATGAATGTGGATTTTCAACATTTAAGGGCAAATGTTTGTATGCTAATATCTGAAAATCTAAGGATGAGTGAAAATACAAAGATTTTATCCTTCTTCAGTCCTACCTGCTCACTGCACAGGAACTAGCTGGTTGGACTGGGACAGAGAAGCCATTGCTGGGGACAGCTAAGGTTGGCACTGGGGGTGGGGATGATGCACAGGTGAAGATCCAGGCTCAGTCCTGGGGAGCTCACAGCCCCCATTTTCTCTGGTCAGGTGAGAGCGGTGACAGAGAGGGAGGTGGCTCCTGAGGCTGACTTTGTGGTTGTACAGAGTCGCCTCCCTGAGGGCACATCTCATAATGAGGCATGTCGGGTGCCTGTGACCACACACACCAGCTGTCCCACCTGCGGCTTTCTTGAAGCCTTCCTTCCTCTCCACACAGCTGCCTTTTTATCTCTCTTCCCAAGGAAAAATGGCAGAGTGAGATAATTTCTCAGACTTTGAAGATATTTTTTGGCTTTTCTTCAACTGCAGATGTGAAACAAACGACTTGAAACATGTAATGTTAGATAAAAAGTAATTTAGTGCTTCTGAGAAATTCTGTGATTTAATGAGCCCAGAGGGATGATATGAGCTGACTGCATATGAGACAAGTGTTCACTATGTCTGTTACCATCATTCCAAGACACGGGGTTGCTCTCTCTGCTGTGTGGAGGTATCTGACACTCCCTCTTATAGACCCAAAGAGTTGGATGGACAGTCCATCCAACTACTGTCCTAGCTTCCCTATGTCATGATCAGGTGTCATAAATCAATGGGACCCTGCTCTGTGTAGAGTTAAGGGCAAGTCAACCACAGCTAATATTCAGATTGAAGTCCCAGGGAACCAAATTGCTCAAAATCAGAAGAATTTATTACCACTGAATATTGCAATTAGTTTTACATGTGAAATTGGAGGTACCTGGCCTCCTTTCTACAGCTGGGAGCCCTTCACAAGGTAGGCACTTCAGAGTGCTGGTTTCAGTACGGCTGTGGATCAGGAGTTCCCAGGCCAGTGGAATATCAGCATCACAGAGCAGTGATGCACTAGGAATTTGAAAATGAATTTTGGGCACTATATTCTATACCACATGTATTTAGTTGCCTACTGCAGCTGTAAATTATAATACATATTCTGTGGCATAATACAACAGTTCTTATCTCACAGTTCTGTAAGTCAGAAATCCAACATAGGCTCTCACTGCGCTAAAATCCAGGTGTTGGCAGGACTGTGCTCCTTCTGGAGGTTCTATGGGATATGAGTCTCCAATGGCTAGAAGCTTCCCAAAGTCCTTAGCTGGAGGCCTTTTCCTCCATCTTCAAAGACAGTAGCAGACTGAGACCTTCTCCTATCTTATCGCTATGAGCTGCTCTTCTGCCTCCCTCTTCCACTTAGAAGAGAAGCATATAATCCTGGTTATAGTCTTAATCTGCAACCTTTGTTGGTTGGTTCTTACAAATCTGCAGGTCTGCCTGTCTCCAGTGAGGTAGAGACATGCAGGGCTGACATGAGTTGACATGCATGGCTAAGAGCATGTAGCCAGGGTGAGGGATCCACAGCTTGGTCGTGCTTCCCTGGGTAACCTCCCACTTAGCTCTTTCTATAGCACCCTTCGACCTGAACTTCCCTCCTCTGAAGGCAGTTAGAAGAACAGTTTTGTTGTCTTCCCAAGTCCTCAGGAGAGAAAGAGTGGCTTTGCACAGTGGAGACATTAAAGAACAAGAACATGCAGCTCTCTCTCCTCTCCCGCATCCCAGGGTGAGAGCGGGTTCCTCTTCTTCTGCATATTGTTAGTTGAAACTTGAGTCTGACAGTCTCAGCTTGGCTTTCACCCATCACCCCCCCCCCACACACTTCATAATAATCATACAAAGTCAAGCGTGCCTTGCAAATAGCAAGGTATCTGGCAGGGTTTTGTGGCAGGGATCCTTGCCCCTGCAAGGTGGGAGTCCCAGCTCTCCTCCCTCTAGTCATGAAATGATTTTATTAGCAAGTCTGTGGAATCTGGACCTGCCCAGCCTAAAGATAAACATTTTCTTTTTTTTTCCATTTTTTAAAATTTTAACATTTATCATTTTTTAGACCATATTTTCTACCCTCCACCCCCTCAGATTGAGTCCCCATAGAATCTCCTTCCCCAAGGCACCCCTGCAACATCACCACAGTCTCCTGTGCTCCTCCCTCCATCCCTCTCACCCCGCTCCCACCTCCTCCCCTGCAGTATGTCTCTGGTTTATAATTGTCTGTTTTGGCTTTGTTGTGTTTTGTACTGTCATCATTATTATTTTTTTTACACTGATGTCTTATTTGGTTTCCCTATATTCCTGTTATGAGTGAAACCATCTGATATTTTTCTTTTTCCTTCTGGCTTATTTCACTGAGCATAATTACTTCTAGCTCCACCCATGTTGTTTCCAGGTTTTACCTATTGTAAATAGTGCTGCAATAAACAGGTGTACAGGTGCTCTTCTGAATCACTGTTTTTGTGTCCTTTAGGTAGATCCCTAGGAGTGGAATTCCCAGATCTTATGGTAGCTCCATTTTTAGTAGACTGAGGAAACTCCAGATAGTTTTCCACAATGGTTGGACCAGTTTGCACTTCCACCAGCAATATAGGAGAGTTCCTTTAGTAACTCTAAAGAGAGAGTTACAATATAGGAGAGTTACTTTTTTGATATATGCCATTCTTACTGGTGTAAGGTGGTATCTCAGTGTGGTTTTGATTTGTATTTCCCTGATTATAAGGGATGCTGAACATTTTTTCATATGCCTCTCGGCCATTTGCTTTTCCTCTTTGGAGAAATGTCTTTTGAGTTCTTCTGCCCATTTCTTGCCTGGATTGTTTATTTTGTTTTTGTTGAGCCATGTGGGTTCTTTGTATATCATTATGATCAGCCCTTATCAGTTGGATGGAGT